TGATTTATCAATCCCTCCCATGTTCAGTACTGGGAGAATTTTTACACAGTCTCTACTGTAGGTCTCCAGGTACACCTACAGTACTACAGATAATACCAATTTTAAAATATTGGACTCATTGTGCCACCTTGTTATTGCACCATGGCCATATAAGAGATAATCAGTACTGTTGTATACACTTCAACAAAATCTTTCATCAAAAAATTGCAAATCATTATACAAAGTTGGAGATTATGTCCATTTGATATAAGTTAGGGGGAAACTAAGGCTATGAGAGGATAAGTGACTTGTCTAAAACTGCACAATGAGTCAGAGATGGAGTGGAAAACACAACTCAAGTCTTTTGATTCTTAGCTCTGTCTTCTAACCATGCTAGCCCTGTCATGAAGTTAGCCAATCTGATCTTGCCTAGTGTGCCTGGAGTACTGCCAAACATTTCCCGTTCTCTTCTGTTTCTATGTGTCATTGCAGAGCTGCACCATGGAGAATGCTAATAAAATTGGTTCAACGGTTTAGTTGCATACTTGCCCATCCATTCACCCACACCTACAGTCTCTCCCTTGCCAAACTAATTAAACGCCCACGCACATATTCTCCTAATCACTCACTCACCCAATCACATAATCTTTCATTCACTTTCCCATTCAGTTATACAATCTGATTCTCACACACCTTTCATCTATTTACCTATAATCTTGTACGTTCTTTAGTCTACCTAGCCTAGCCTCTCTCGTCACCCAAACCAGCATGCACTTCTAGATGTACCCTACTCAATTATGCTTCATGGATCCTATGGCCACTTTATAAGAGAGTTTTTTTGGGGAGGAGGGGGAGTCATTTATTATGGAGCCAGTCCTTTAGTTTTTATGAACAAAACACTGAGTGGGTACCTAATCCTGCTGGTAGCAAAGCAGCTTGGAGTTAGTTCTCTGTATAGCCATAAAACAAACTAAAATTCTAAAGCCTATCCTCAATAAGAGAAAAAATGAAAACAAAGAACAATTAGAAAGAGAAGTGACTTTGTAAAAATTAGAAGTAGGTTGAGGGGATACTTGGAAAATGTGAACACATATAAATAGCTGGGTTGGCTGATATTGCTCAGGGTATTATGTGACTTAGAGTATACCTTTTTCATTCAAAATTGTTTTTCTTTATCATCTTCTACACCTGCAGTTTTGTTTACATTACAGCTTTCACTGATGGAGAATTATGGGTTCAAATATTCCCAGTGTACATGTACTCTAAGGAAAGGGTGGGCAATAAAACAGTGATGGTTCACCAGGGTTAGCTCTTGGTAGGCCGCTGATGCTATATCTCACAGAATACAAGAGCTGGACAGGACTTCGAGAGGTCATCAAGTCCAGTCCCCTGCCCTCATGTCAGGACCAAACACTGTCTAGGTCATCCCTGATAGATGTCTATCCAACCTGCTCTTAAATATCTCCAGTGATGGAGATTTCACAACCTCCTTAGGCAATTTATTCTAGTGTTTAATCACCCTGACAGTTTGGAAGTTTTTCCTAGTGTTTTTCCAACCTAAACCTCCCTTGCTGCAATTTAAGCCCATTGCTTCTTTTCCTATTCTCAGAGGCCACGGAGAATAATTTTTCTCCCTCCTCCTTGTAACACCCTTTTAGGTACTTGAAAACCGCTATCATGTCCCCTCTCAGTCTTCTCTTTTCTAAACTAAACAAGCCCAATTCTTTCAGTCTTCCCTCACAGCTCATGTTTTCTAGATCTTTAATAATTTTTGTTGCTCTTCTCTGAACCTTTTCCAATTTCTCTACATCTTTCTTGAATTGTGGTGCCCAGAACTAGACCTGATACTCCAACTGAGGCCTAATCAGTGCACAGCAGAGCAGAAGAATGACTTCTCGTATCTTGTTCACAACAGTCCTCTTAATATCTCCTAGAATCATGTTTGGGTTTTTTTTGCAACGGTGTCACACTGTTAACTCCTATTTAGCTTGTGGTCCAGTATGACCCTTACATCCTTTTCTGCAGTTCTCCTTCCTAGAGAATCGTTTCCCATTATGTATCTGTATTTACCTGCACCACTGCAGGTCTGGGTGATCACAACTCCTATTG